ATACCAATAATATCACTATGTAAAATAATTAAATGTGATGATTTGAAAACAATTTCTGAAAACCCCTAAAATATTTTTCTTAAATGTAGTGTTATAATCTAGTTTAATGCTCACTCAAATTTTTCAGTTTTTTATTTCGGAAACTTATTTGTTGCAACCAGTTAAGAACTATATGATTCAAAAATGAATGGCCGGAAATCATTAGTTTTTATAGAATAGCCTTACAAAGTTCACGATTTTCGGTGTTTTATGCACCCGTACAACGCTTAAAGTTTACTTAGAGCTTAAGTATAACAAATTAAATTTTTTTTTTACCTAGGTAAAGAGAAAGAGTTAAAAGTTAAAACCATTGCAAAATCTAACTTTACCTTGTGCATTACTACTATCTATAAATCATGCAAGTTCTGTAGTGTTCTGTACTGTATTAATAATAAGTAAGTAATAACAATACTTCTGTTTGCTCTCTAAGGCGTTATCATAATAAATAAATAGATAATAATTTGTTTCTAATAATTACGTTACACTTAGAGAATGATATATTCAAAAGAATTATATTTACTTTTATTTGTTTGTATGTATAGTCACTAGTCAGCAAAAGAAAGTTTCCAAATAAACTTGGTTAGCAATATAGACTTGCATGCTGTTTTCTTCAGTAAGTTCATACGCCTATTTCAGCATTATAATTTTGAAACGGACAAAATATACACAGCTAAATAATAATCTTTTATTTTTGAAACTGATTATGTTTGGATAGAACGAAGTATAGACATTAAGTTATTGTTGAGATCTCGAGAAATAAATTTGAACTAATTTGGAGTTACCATTATCTTATCATATGTGCACATTCATTCCAATGTAGTAGGTATATAAACATATAGGTACTAACTACTAAGGTACTATGTAAAATTTTCAATCTACTACATTGGTTGGCAAATTATACCAATAACGTTTACAGTCAAGTTAGCTGAATATAGTTTTAAACAAAAATTTAACAGATAGTTCACAGCGCCGGCGCAAGGCCGGGGCGAGCGGGGCACATGCCCCGGGCCCCGCGCTTTCAGGGCCCCGCTAGAAATTATTATTTAAAATAAAATTATTTATATTTAAAACTCTTTTGTTAAGTTCCATACAGGATTTTACTATCGAGTATAGCTGCATAATATTATTATCTTGATGTTAGTGGTCGATCTCCGAAATATTAAAATATATTATTATCACTTATGAGTTCTTGGTTAGTTTATGTATTTGGTATGATATTTTGAGTGAAGTAAATATTGTCAGCAAGTCACTTCAAAACCCACTAACTAATTTAGAAACATCTGCTAAGTTGCTCAAAGCGCTTCAAGTTTTTTTGAATGAGTATAGAGATAGTGGATTTGAAAAAGCCAAAATAGAAGCAACCGATTTAGCAAAAGTTTTAGAGTTAGAACCTGTTTTTAAAAACACTCGACTACGAAAAAAAAACGATTGTTTGAATATGAAAAAGCCGATGATGTTATACAAAGTCCAGAAGAAAATTTTAAAATGTTTTACTTTTTAGTATTAGTTGATAGTGTTACTGGTGCTATAACTAAACGATTTGACCAAATAACGAATTTTAATAATATATTTGGATTTCTATATAATATTGGAAAGCTTCGGATTGTTCCAAATACAGACATTTTAAAATGTTGTCAAGACCTACAAATACATAACGAAACAAAAGATTTAAATGGTTGTGATTTATACGAAGAACTTTTGATTTTCCGCCATTTAGTAGATGAAAATATACCATTACTTCAGGTACCTACTTTTTGAAGTAAAAAAAACTAATGCTTTTCCTAATATGAGTATAGCTTTGAGAATTATACTGACCATTCCACTCACATCAGCTGGAGCAGAGAGATCTTTTTCGAAGCTTAAATTAATAAAAACTTATTTACGGAGTACCATGTCCCAATAACGGCTCACTGGACTAGCCACAATTTGTATTGAAAAAGAACTATCCGAACAGTTGAACTATGAAGAAATTATAAATGATTTTGCTTCCAAAAAAGCCAGAAAGAAAATTATTTAGAACTTAAACACTAAAACTAACTATATCAAATATAAATTATAATTTTAAATGTTTACTTGTTATTTTTATGTACTAAAAAATGATTTCAAATTAATTAACTATATTATACTATATTTTTTATTTTGATAATGTTGAGAAGTTTATAAAATAAAAGGGAATTAAAAAAAATAAATAAAAGTAAATTTATTGTGTAAATTATTATTTACACAATAAATTTACTTTATAATACATACTTCTATATTTTTTTATACACTATATTACTATAATATACTTGTAAGTTGTAATAGCTAAAAAATATAATAATATTACATATTAATATATTATGTTAAGCTTGATGTAAAACACTATTCAAATATAAAAACTTCCTAGTTCAGTTTCTCAAATAAAATCTTTTACCTACTATAAAATCATAGTTTGTATTTTGTTGCATACATACTGTTTATTGTTAAACGAACTACGAAGCATGCTTTATTTATTTTCAAGTATTAGATACTTATAAAATTCTAATATATAGAGTACCTATAGAGTCTAATATCTACATTATAGACTGTAAAGGTAGGTACATACCTAATATTAACAAATATAACTATGTAAATTATATAAAATATGTATAGGACTTGTATTTTTTCCAGTTGGTAGCCGGTAGGTTTTTGCTTTCAATATTTCGCATATTGGGGCCCCTTTCAATATGATGTGCCCCGGGCCCCGAAAAACCTAGCGCCGGCGCTGATAGTTCATGTTCAGATAGTAAAGCTTTAAGATAAAGAGTTCAGAGTAGGACCTACTCACATTCAACGTTGAGAAAAACCCGTTTATTAATGTCTCTATTCTCGTGGCCCACCCTATATATACTTTACAATCATAGAGCTAGTGATAATAGTCAATAGACCTATCATGTATAAATGTACAATCATCTCACCTATATGGCTATATGGCCTATATGCCTATATCATAGAACAGTATATACAGGGTGTCCCGTGAGGATTTACTCATTGCGATATCTCCTGAAATAATAGAGATATCGTAATTCTATTTTCTTATTAAGACTCACAGAGGTAAGCACTACAAATAACTAATTTTTTTTTTTTATTTTTGGTAAAAAAGTTAAAAAAATTATTTTTTTAATTAATTATTTAAAAAAATATTGAAGATTGCCATTTTGTAGAGTTCATTTTTCTGAAAATATTGACGTTTCAATATTTTAATTTCATTAATTTCCTGATTTTTAATAATTGTTTTAATTAATAAGTAAAACGGCAAAAAACCGGTTTTTGTCCGGGCGGCGAGTCCCCCTCTACGGCTAATAGGTAAATCCTCACGGGACACCCTGTATAGTCATACTGTCATAGGTCTATTAGGTCATAAATCATAATTTATTTTATTTTATTTTTAAACCGAACTCTTATTTCTTTCTTCTAATGAAGTTATTATTGGAATCGAAAATAAATATAATTGATTTTTTATTTTTCTGGAATATTCATCGGCTTGTTTTTGTAATGCATTCAAAACTATTATTTTAATAACGTGGAAAATAACGCGTTAGTGGGTTACTTCATAGAAATTACTTTTAAAAAGTAATTTTGTTACAATTGCATTACTTTAAATAAAAACACGGTAGTGTATACTGTATAGATTAACCTATAATCTACAGTGAATAAAATGTAATGGAATTATTGCTGCGTTACTGAAAAAGTAATATTGCGCTACAGTAATTTGTAATGTGAGTTACTTTACTACCTAACACTGTTACTGGGGCCTGGGAATTGGGATAGCGTTATACTTGCACCCGAGCGGAAAATTTGATTTTTCTTGGGGAAATATTTAGGTACAAATTCTTAAATTTTTGGTACAAATTGGTGGCAGGATAACCCATCTAAGGTCGTCAACAACTATTGAACAATTTAATAACAAGAAAGAATTAATAACAAGCCTGCAAAATGTTATTAATAAATTTTGTGTCAACAAAAAATATAAAGATAGGTATTAATGTTTATTGTGTTGATTTTTATATTTATAATCTAAATTTACTAGCTATTGAAGCAGAAATTTTACTATGGCAGACAAAATGAACCAAGATTTTTGAAATAGATAGGTCATCAAATGTTTTTAACGCGTTGTCCTAGTGCAATCAAAATTTTTTTTCCGTCAATTGCTTACTTATTAATATGTGTTAGGAACTTTTCTGGTATCAACGTCAACAATAAAACTTTTTAACTTTTCAACTTTTCAACTTTAAAACGCCTCAAAACTTTTATAATTATACATAGACTATAGTCTATGACCATAGTTTATTCTATCTCAGTGCTTCCGATAATTATAATATAATAGGTACCTAACTGAATAACTGATTATTTGAGACGAATATTTGATTACTATATTTACTGGTGGTCGGTGGAAGACCAATGGCGTCATGACGACAAATCCTGAAAGGTTAGAACCATTTTATTATATAAGATATTCTTATGTATATTTGCATATTGCACTTTTTTATTACATGTATTTAAGAACATTGATTTAGTACATCTTCTTTATTAAATATTAACTGATAACGACAACCATGTAAAAAACACGGACTATGATAATCCATCTTAGTCAGTGGTAAAAAAATAAAATACATCATAATGACATAATATTTTGTCGTTGGTGACTTTGTGTGACCGTGTTCCGTGTTCTATGGTAGTGGGGGGCGGGGGCCTTATCAATAATTCTTACTGTTATCGATATCGAGTTGGCCTCGACCCTCGCCGATGCTTATAAGCTTATTAGCTTATTACTTGTTAGTTGTTTGTGTTTGCAGTTCAAAAATAAAAAAAGACGATTACTCCGAGAACCCCGATAAAAGAAAATTATACATTATACCATGGCTATTGGTTAAACACCACGTTATTTCCTTAATAAGGTATACTTCGTCCACTGTATACATTGCACACGTACGGGCTTTACCATGTCGGTTCGTGGTGATGTCAACAACGATGAAGGTGGCGTGCCCGAGTACGGTTGGAAAGTGGATTTCGATCACCAGTTCCCCGATCCCAGAACGCCGACTTACATGCCGAGGATCAAGCAGATATTGCAGTTATTACCACTGATTGTTAGGTAAAATTTATTTGAATGTTTCATGGGCTAGTTCTGGTCTGAAAACCTACAGACTGAATTGGTTTAAATATTGGGCCCTTGAATTTGTCTTAGTCCTCATGGTTTATTTTATTTTTTTAATATTATTCCCCAAACAATACTTGAATAAGAATTAATTGGTGTCCACCTTACAATTTAAAATTTAAACCACTAACCAGTTACAGTGTTTGATGATCATTTTGAATTTTCAAAACTGCCACATAGTATCTTTGGTTACAGTAAAGGGATATAGGTATTTCAAAAACATTTAATGAATTAAAAGTTAGGTTCATTTAGATTTAGTATTGAAAATGAAACAGTCCTAAAATGTAAATAAAACTATGCACCAACCGCATAGGTGTAACTAGGTAAATTTTTTGGTGGGCTAAAATTTTTTCAGCAGCACAGACCGCAGGAGATTAACTTTTTGTATAGTTAGGACGTTAGGTTCTTTCAAATAATAATAAAATAGGTACATATACCTACCTATGTTGATATATTTTATTAAAACAGGTGATTTCTTTTTGTTATTATTCTTAACTCTTAAGAGGATGTAACGCGGGCATTTGTTGTCTCTCTCTTACAAGTGCGTAACATAGGAAATGTATGCTCAGCAGGTCATGTTTAGCTTTGTTATTCTAAAAATTAGAGTGAATTGATCTATTATTAAACTTGATAGTAAGAACATTATCTGTTTTGTATGTGGGTTTTTTTATGATCATTTTTAATTTATGCTATATTATACATGCAAAACTTGCTAAAAAATTCAACTATTGTAAAAAACCCACATACAAAAACAGATAATGTTCTTAGTGTTCTTACTATAAAGTTTCATAATAGTTTGATTCTTTCTAATTTTTAAAATAACAAATCTAAATGACTAAATGTGACGGTACCCAAAATTTCAAACTTTATTTGTGCCTATGGATTATGTTCACTTAGATATATAAATAAAAAAATAATGTATTCTGTAGGTAGTCATATTCTTTTTTATTCTCTTAATTCTTCAAATCTAATGTATAATGATGTTTTATTATATTTTTATATTCAAGGCAATACATTTAATTTAAACTATTAAATTTCATACTTTGTTATATATAACTAAAACAATTGATGTTTTCATAAAAACAAATGTTCATTAACTAAGTATACCATTGATTATGTAGTGTACTAGGTGTTAAATATTTTATCAATACTATAATTCGGACTTTACTTCTAGAAAAAATTAAATTGGAATTATTTTCCCCGGACTTTTTTTTTGTGATTCATTTTAACTCTTAAATAAATATGTTTCTATCAAATTATTATAAATTAATTATTATTGATATTTGAATGATCCCTGGAATGACCTTATAAAATATCTGAGATAATTTATAAAAAGTGGTATTATGCAATAAGAAACATTCATAGAACAAATTAGATAATCCTCAAGATCTACTTATATTAATATTACATTAGTCATTACTCATTAGTAACTAAACAATTAATTTTTAGTTAACTTATTAGGGACTAACTATAATTTAGTTACATTATTTATATTTTGGCTATAGTCAGAGTTGGACTGGCCTGGACTGCTAAGTGGCGTAATTAGAGATTTTTCATAGAGGGGGTCCAGCTAATTTTCCAAATTCATGTAAGTGGATGCTCCGCTAAAGAATATATTAATATATCTATTAGATGTTTAGATAGGTATTTATGGGGCCAAAGGGGGATCCGGATTCAACAGACTCCCTCCACAAATATGCCACTGGTTCAACCGCTAGTCTGCAATTGCGGACGGAGCCCTGGCCTAATTATGGTAATTGGGTTCCCCTAAATTTATATTTTATAACATACATTTTCACTATATAAAAATATTTTAAGTAACCGACTATTCAATTTTAAAGAATGAAATATTACCTAATGGTTGGTCAAATTTATTATTTTTATTGTTAACATACTATTATAATAATTTTTTCCAGGTATGTATTTTACATGCTACTATGTTTTTTAAAAGGCCAGAAACCAATAATGGATTTTCTATTTCCTATTAAGTCAAAGCACATGTATGGTAAGAATTTTTATTGTTAAATCTTTATATCTTTACAATTATTAATTAAACAGTTTGGTTACAGCTTGTTAGTCAAATAATTATAACAAGTAATAACAATTTATTTTGGTTACTTTATATTTTCAGGTGTACCTTTGGGTGGTATTGGAGGTGGAACCATAGGCCGTGGATTTAAAGGAGAGTTTTGTCGCTATCAAGTTGTGCCTGGCATGTACGAGTATGAATCGGTTCAAGCAAACCAGTTCATAGTAAATATTCAAAATAGCGAAAATATTACTGTTTACAATAATGTTCTGTCATGTTTGAAGTAAGAGCAAATGTGTACTATTCATATTATATTATGTATATAACATTAATTTAGTACATTAAACATTTTAGGTGTAACAACAAAACATTGTACAATTGGAAATGGGATTTTCCATCAAATCAATGTAAGTATACTGGTCTCTATCCAAGATCATGGACCGAATATTTAATTCCAGAATTTCAAATCAAACTCATTTGCAAGCAAATTTCACCCATTATTCCACATAACTATAAAGTATGTAATACCATTATATTTTATTAAGCTTAGTAAAAATATTTAGTATATGTATAATTTAATACTCATGTTGGTATAACCTTACATTGTTATAGGATAGTTGTATCCCTGGTGGTGTTTTCATATGGACAGTAGAAAATAATAGCGATGAACAATATTCAATAAGCTTAACATTTACGTTTGCAAGTGGTAACGGCATTTCATCATATCATTCAGGTTATTACAATATTATATATTTTTAAAATTAATATCAAAATGAAAGTCTTACAAATTGATTTGTGGTAAATAGAAAAATATTGTTTCTTTAATTCATAACTACCATAAAGTCTATTAAATATACTTTCTCTGTAATAAATGATAATACTTTTATTTCACTCATACATTTTTATATTCCTAATACGTAAGTAGTAAATATTATTTAGAGATTACACGACTATTGCTTGATAAATGGTATAAAATAGTTATTTCCTATGAATATTTTGTTTTACTGTAATATAAATATTATTAATTTCTTATTTAATTAGGACTTTACTTTGTTTTAATTCCTCAGATGAACCTAGCTGTGAACCATTCAACTTAAACAAAGATGGTACCGAGGTTGCTGGTTCACTGATACACAATTGTTTTAAAGAAATGAAGTGTACCTATGTTATTGGTGGATTAATAAAAGTAATTAAATTAAATGTTCAAGAATTTGATTTATAATTTTTAAATTAACAAACATTTTTACTATAGAAAGGTGCAGCTTTCAGTCAATTAAATTTTGATCCAAAAGGCAATGGTATGACCATATCAAAAAGCTTACAATTATTTGGAGAGTTGAGAGATATGCAATTAGGGCCTAGTAATATATACAGTAAGTAATACATATCTAATACCACATGAACAAACATTGAATGGATGAATAAATAAATATGAATTTTTTATACTCTTTTAGTGAGAAATGAAGAAGTGGCTAGTGCAATTTGTTTAAAACAATGTTTACTCCCAAACACATCAATGACTTATGAATTTGGATTATTTATAGATATGCCTAAAATTAAATTTCCTAAATCAAATATAGAATATTTCAGGTAAACTATATCTAATTTATATTATTATTAAATATATTTTAGAATACTAAAAGCATAATATTTTTTTTAAGGTACTATACTAAGTTTTTTGACAATAATGGAACAGCTGGTCCCAAAATAATGCATTATTCAATGCAAAATTTTAAAAGATGGGAACAAGAAATTGAAAAATGGCAAAATCCAATTTTAAATAATCCGTAAGTACATAATATAAAAACCTATATTCGTTTATAATTATTTGTTTACAAATAATAACATTGTGTTAATTTTATTTTATTAAGTTTATCTTACATTATTACATGATGTTTATTAATAAAGTATTTTAATTTATATTTAAAAATGATGATATTAATTTATCAAATATACAATTTAAGGACATAGCTCATTGATCATTATGTTTTTGCAGCTTATATATTATAATGTTATAATAATATATTTTACTTATAGATCATCTAAAAGAATATTAAAAATTTTTTTTTTATTATTTTTATTACTAATATATTTACAAAATCATATAATAACCTCATTATTTGAAAAAAATCTTATTAGTGATATTGAGGAGTAGTACAAAATAATATGTCTACCATTATTTATGTTAATAATATTATTCACCTGTGATTAACGATACTCGTCAATTGTGTTTGTCATTAAAAGGACATGGCACCCTCTACATATGTTGTCTCCGTCTTACACACGTACAACATAGAAAATTGTTCGCTCAGCAGTTCACGTTTAGCTCCATTAGTTTAAAAATTATAGTGACCTCTTAGAAAATGTAAAGGTAAAATTATTATTAAGGGGCTTGGGCATTTCATAGACTTTTTATTATATTTTAATTTTAAAGCGAGTTATGAGTATTTTAAAATTGTAAATTGTTTGTATATCTTAAAACAATCATAACTTGTCCTAAAATTAAAATATAACATAAAGTTTATGATATGCCCTAGATAAAAATCTTACCTTTAAATTTTAAAGGAGGTCAATTCACTCTAACACAGCCAAACTTGATCTGCTGAACGTAAAATTTGCTATGTCATACGTGTGCAAGACGATAGCGGGAACCATGTCCTCTTAAGATTATAAACCTAATTTTTACGTCACCCACTGGTTGATTATTAACTTTAATTTTTTCTATTTAAATTATATTTGTTTAATTTGACTTTTCTTTTACAATATATAATATATTTTTATGACGAGTAACTGAAAATGGATATGATATATTAAATATATAATATAAACATTAATTAATTAATTTAAAAAATGTCATGCTAGTATTCTTGTTTCTATCTTATAAACAACATAGCAAATTTGCTTGTCAGTTAATATTTACTTTTACTCATTATAAAATTTAAATTTTACAATAGCTTATTCTGGATCCACTTGGGGCATTAAATAAGGGTAATTTCAAGACACACTTAGAAAACCCACACCTGCCAATATCATTGTTGCCTGGTGTACCACTCTGCTCCTGGATATTTACAATAATTTCCACTTTTTGTAGGCGAATATCGTTAATATTAATTTATTATTCTCAATAGTTTCATAATTTCTAATTTGTTATTCTCTAATTTAATATAATTTATTGTAACATATACATATCATAGAAGTTAGTATAGTCCAAACTTGGTATTTCAATACATTGTAACAAAAGTCTCAGAATACTGTCAGAATTTGGAATTTGGCTATTTTTGGATTGTTGTTTGACCATATAGAAACAGCATTTTTTACTTATTAAAATTCACTGTTTTTTTAACTTTGATTATTGCCAATACCATTATTAGCAGTTTATATATATTTTTCATTTCAATTCCAGTGTACACACATACCAGTAGCACACCTGATATTATAAAATTATGTTTTTTTTCCGAGATAATTTATTATTATAATATATTTATATCTAATCGGTATAACTGATATTATAACATGTAAAAAAGATTGAACTACACTAAAAAACTATTAAATTCACAGATTAATCAGTATAATAATTGTATATGTGCAATGTACTCATACATTTGGGTTCATTATTGTAGTTGGATAATAAGTTTAACTAACCACTCATAAAAAGAGACCAGATTGATGAATATGTTTCCCTATAATATGTTATACTATTTCCCATATTACCTAGATTGTGCTGTTATCTGTATTGTGTATTTAATATTTATTAACAATTTTCTTTATTATTATTTTGATTTTAGATTATTACCTGACTGGTATAAAAGTGCTATATTCAATGAAGTTTATTTTGTAGCTGATGGCGGAACTATTTGGTTCTTACCTCTCAAAGAAGATTATGAACGGTTAGATGTCACAGATCCAAGATATCAATATGGATATTTTGGGTATTTGGAAGGTCATGAGTATCGAATGTACAATACATATGATGTACATTTTTATGCATCTTTTACATTAGCAAAACTGTGGCCTAAACTACAGGCATGCATTCAATACAAGTTTAGAGATACAATTGATAATGCATTGAATATTACTAGAAAACACTTGTCCTGTGGTACCAGGGGTTTACGGAAATATAAATATAGTGTACCACATGATCTAGGTGATCCAGGTTTGTTTTAATTAATTAATTATTTTTTATTAAAAGGTATTTATTTCATGAATTATTATGTTGTTTTTTTTTTTTATAGAGGAAGACCCGTTTAATTTGGTGAATGCTTATTTAGTACACAATGTATCAGAATGGCGTGATCTTAATTTAAAATTTGTTTTGCAATGCTACAGAGATTACACTATGTTTGGTGATAACAAGTATTTGGCTGATATGTATCCACAAGTAATTCAATTTAAATATTTAAAAAAAAAAATATACTGTGTTGTATGTTGTTTACTTGAACTTACAATAAATTTAAATAAATAATAATTTACTTATATTATATAGATAAAAAATGTGATGGAGAAATCATTGTCTTGGGATACTGATGGGGATGGAATGATTGAGAATTCTGGAACTGCCGATCAAACTTTTGACACATGGATAATGACTGGCATCAGGTAATAATTATTTTATAATATATTCATTTACTTGATAGAAAAATTTTTCTTAAAAATGTTCAATATATTTCTCGTATATTCATATATTTTTGTATTGTCTTAGTAAGAACATCTTAAGGCTCAGTCAAACAGAAAGCGTTATTTTCACGTCGCATGATTGTGATTTTGTAATTTATTGTGACACGGCGTTATTTACGCACGTGAAAGTACCACGCCGACGAGCCATTTACCGCTTAATCGCTTTCTGTTGACACATTAGGAACTAGGGTGCAGATTAATATCTACCTAATTATCTAACAGTGTGATTGGACATTTTTGAGGGAACAAATTTTTATTTTAAATTAAATTAAATTTAAGAAGGTAGTTAGTAAATAGTATTAATAGGTATAAATAATACACCTCAAATATCTATGATTATTCATTTTTGAATTACAACAGACAAAAACAAAATTGATTTTTACCAAAATCTTGTGGTGTGTTAATAAACCCATTTTTCCATTATTTTTTGATCGTTTTTCCCAATTATTTAAAAAGTATTGCAGATTTTATAATTTTGATATCCCATATTATTAACCACGTCAAATTTAATAAATTTGAACTTGAGTTTTAGATATTTTACAATATTTATGTTTTTAGTGCTTATTGTGGAGGGTTATGGTTAGCTGCTCTTTATTGCACTGTTCAGATATCAAATATTCTTAAACAAGGAGATATCAGTGAAAAATATTTGAACATATTAAATAAAGCCAAGGAATCATTTAATGCTGCTTTGTGGAACGGTAATTTGGTTTAAGTTGTTATCATATTAATCGTCAAAGCATTGCATTTTGTGGTGGTCAAATGATTTTGTAATTTATTTATAATCTACAAAGCTCAAGACAGATAAGTATACTCTGAAGTGTACAATGCGAGGCCTCAAAGATATAATGAATGTATTTATTATACACGGTTAGTCTTTCTTTAGATTTATATTGGTAGAAAGTTATATGGTTTTTACAATAAACGATGGTGGCAAGTGTATTTACTATTTTTAACGATTAAACAGAACCTTCCTTGTTGTCATTTAAAAATGGAAAGAATAAAACTTAAAAGGTTAGATTATGATAATAATTAAGATGACGTGTAACACTAATTGAATATTAAAAAAATTATGTATTTATTTTAAAATAACGTACCTACTGTAGTGTATTATTTTTAATTATAATACTTCATTACAACAATAAATAAACATATAACTATCATCTACATTCTATAAGGTAAACTTAAAACTAAATGTTTTATTTTATATAATATTAAGTTAAAAATTGGTTAATATTTATTTGTCACAATTTTTAGTAGAATATTTGATAATCTGTATATTATTAATTGTTTATCAAATGTGTATCATTTAATATTTTTATACTAAAATAATTATAAATATACTTAACATTTTGTTATAGAATACTGAACAGAATTATAATGTTAGTACATTTATTTTTGCAGGTGAATATTTCAATTTTGATTCGTCTGGTCAGCATCATTCAAAATCAATTATGGCTGATCAATTGTGTGGGGAATGGTATTTGAAATGTTGTGGTGTAAACGAAGAGGTAATGGATTGTACAAACGGTTTCAGTTTTAATGTGTACATTTTTATCAAATAATTATGTTTTTATCTTAGGTACTCCCAGTTGATAGAGTCAAAAAAGCTCTTCAGACAATTTACAAGATGAATGTACTTGGGTTCAATGATGGAAAAATGGGAGCTGTGAATGGCATAATGCCTGATGGCAATCCAGACACGTTTTCGGTACAAAGTGAAGAAGTTTGGACAGGAGTTACATATGCTTTGTCCTCTTTAATGATCGCACATGTTAGTTTTATACTGTGAATTATAGTATTACAATGAAGTACATTATGTTAATGATAAACATTTGTTCATAGGGTTTACGCGATGAAGGTTTTAACACAGCCAAGGGTATTTATAATACTGTTTATAATAATATAGGCATGGCGTACCAGACACCAGAAGCTATTTATTCTAAAAATGCATACCGCTCTGTTGGTTATATGAGACCCCTGAGTATATGGTCTATTCAAACTGCATTGGATAATTTAAACAAAGACTAACTTCTAAGATAGTATTAAATTTATGTTCAATTTTGTATAATGAGATGAAAGTAAAAATATTTTCTAAATATATAGCAAGTGTATTACGTATGCAAATATGACTATGACTAAATTGATTGAGGATAATGCTGCACAGTTCTTACACATATTTAAGTTGCATGTTTGGTTATTAGAGGTTATTGCATTAAATTGTGCTTCAATTAGTTCCCATGGACAGGTTCGGCATTCATCTTTACCCATCGGTATGCCATGTTCGTTGAGTAAAATCATGGCTTTATTTCCATCCCTACATTTGTAGAACACTGCTATTACATTTGACGCAAATGGATCTATGAATGATGTCCTCCATTTTCTATTTTTCATCTGTTCAAAGTTTGTGCCCAGTAATGGAGTATTATCTTTTCCGATGCCCAACCTGGCAACCACACTCAAAACGTTAGGTGAGTGTCCAAAGTAAAATATTCCTAATGGTCCTTGTTTCCCTCTGGAAATGTTCCTATAGAATTAACAAACTACATTTTAATTATATTATTATTTTTAATGTTAATATTGTGTTGAATTTAGCATAAGATAATATATATTAAGTTAGGGTATGGGTATGTTGCTATTTTTTTTCAGTACATGAACATCATTAGATTTAAAAACTAGGTTAAATCAATATTTATGTAATATGTAACAACATATTATATAATTAAGTCTAGCTAGTAAGTTTTAGTGGTCTAAAAACAATTAAGTAGCATTAGAAATATTGAAAACTAGTTTGTGATCTCTTGACGAGGTTACTAGAACATAACCGTAATAAAGTATTATATATTAATATTGTGTTTTATTTTGTTGTTGTACCGACAACCTACTTTGTTGTATCTGTAGACTTCTCTCTTTCATCCACTCCTATTTTTATAAGGTTTACTTTAACTCATTTTTCTATGTTGCTACCTAAATGATTTTAGTCTACTAAAATTTACTGACTAGACTAAGTTGTATATTTTGTCACATATTACATAAATGTTTTCTTGATTTAGTTTAAAATTCTAATCATTTTTAGCATTGATCCATGTAGGAAACATACCTTTACCCTATAAGATTTAAATTGTATGCTTAATACAACAGGTGTGTTATCAATTTATTATCAAACAACTATGCAAGTTGCTCATACTTGAAATTGTCTATCAAGTCCTTCACAATAGGGCATCCCATGCTCTCTCCAATGGGATTTCCATACCCATTATCATAGTAATATTTGAGATCATCTACGTATTCAAGGATCTTAAGGAAAAAAAAAACATTATTGTCAACAAATTTAAGATCACCCCTATAGTGGTGACGGGTGGTATTATAACATATATATTATTATTTATTCTCTTCAACACCGACTAAAACGGGGCCGTCCCCACGACCTTCTTAGTTTCACCCACTAAACCAAGCAAAATAATTGTACTATTATATATTTCAAATGCAAGCCCGGATTAAAGATCAGCCCTCTTTCAACTTTAACTTCAAAATAATTGTACCATTACATATTAAAGACTATATTATTGTATAATTTTTTACTATACAACAAATATCCAGAGTGTCATATGTCACTGTCCGCGGGTTTTTTTTTAACAATTATGAATCGATGATATGGAATTTCGTTAGAACAAAAATAGAAGTGTTTATTTATTTTTAACAGACAATTTTTTGACAACATTTTTAACACTTTTAAACACGCAGTTGTACCAATAATAAAATCGACATTATTATTTCAAATGGTAACTACTACATTTTTTGATTGATTCTGGTAAAACTTTTTTCCTGAATATTTCGACAGTCAAATGATAAATTTTGGTTCGCTAGGTTAATAACTATGGTCTTCTAAAGTTTAGTTTAATATAATGCATTAATACTCTTAATGAAATACCTAATTTACAAGAGCTAAATATTTTTTTTCTTATAACAACCTTTTTGTATAAGTACCTACTTAAATAGTTAAATTGGTAATCTAAAATGCTCAAAATGAAAAAAAAAAACATCAACATTTTTGGGAAACATAGTTCATTATTTTTAGTAATTTTTTGTGGTATATAATGAAGAACAATTTTATTTTAGAATTATTAATAATAAATTAATAAACTATACCTACCTACTTAAATGATATTTTTTTTTTGAAAACTGTATTGGACGTGTTAAAAAAATATATTTTGGGGATAAAGATGGGCCCGGGACCATGCCTCCCTTGCCCCCCCCTCATAATCCGGGCTTGTTCAAATTTTTTTTCTTTTGCTACTTTTTGGTAAGCTGCACCACTTAATTTAATTCGCTTACCAGACATGGTATAATATAGTATTCAATAACATAAATTTAACAAACACAACACTGTTGTCTACCGAAATTGCGTCGAGACTGTGGTCGTCGACAGACGACAGTCGATGATAAGATTACTAAAATGATCGTCAAATACGTATTTTTGCGATTATTATTAGATCATACAGCCCGCATTGCCCGCAACTGCATACAGGCGACAGCTCTTCGATGTGATTGAGTCACTCGCCGAAAATTAAAAGTTATAAATAACACACACACAACTGTGATGCATTTAGTTATTATTGAATCGTTGATAGATAAAATTATTATTGGTATTAATATTTTTAATATAATAATAATTATTTTAAAAATTTAATACGAAATTCGTAACGGAGAACGTATAATATTATAATATGATATATTTTCTAAAAATCTGCCGCCCCTCAAATCACCTTAAAATTGCCGCCCCGGGGCAATTGCCCCCCCTTGCCCCCCGTTAAATGCGGCTCTGCAAATGTATAACACAGCAAAAACTGTTTGGCGCGGCGGCGCGGGACAACTTTTCTCGCATCATATTTGTTGTAGAATTACCAAATTTTCACAACATGTAAAGAAGAACTTTATCTGTGCATCTTTTTTTTTAATAGCACTATACAATCATTTTTATAAGCAAATGAAAAAAAACCAAATGTTTAGAAGAAAATAACTTTTATTGTATTTATGTTATCTAAAATATAGGCAAGCTGTTGCATAGATAATTTTCCACACTATATGTTCAGAAATTTTGGAGCCACTACTACAAACACAGAAAGATAAAAGTTGTCCCGCGCAAAACAGTTTTTACTATGTTGTACTACATTCGTAAAACGGAGACAACACATGCGGGTGTTACTTCCTCTTAATAAAACTATAATAGGATGACTCTAAATTGCCTATACAGAGCGCCGTCCTAACTCGTGCGTATTTTGGTCATAATGTAAGTACATCATATTATGCTGTAAAATGTCCATAAAACACTAAAACATAGTTATTTTTTTAACCAACCAACACAAATGTGCTAAACCATTCAAATATCTGCCCAATCAAAAATACCTCTGAACTATATCCAAATACACAAACAATTAAAGATTATGGAGAATTCTCCAAAATTAAAAAAAAGATGCTCCACCAACATTAATAGATCGGACATTTATAGAGGAATGGTGAAGATGAATACGCGCAAACAAAAAAACCATATTAATTGAAGAGTTCTAAGTAGACGTGAAGGATGCATTTGTTAAAAGGTTGGGTAACTGAGTAAGTAATAGGTAGGTATTATCAGTACATAATTATGATTTATGATGTGCACTCGCTATAATTGATAGTACACCGATTATACCGTATAATAATTAATAATTATATCATTTGTAGACTGTATACATACTTCGAAATCGTACTGTGTGAACACGGCACACCATGCTGGTCGCGACTGTATGTACCAAGCTTTCTCATACTTGCACGATTCCAACATCAGTGAAACATTTTCTAAAAAAAGAGTAGAAAACAATGTTATTATATACTTATATTATACACGTTGCACATATTATGGTGACGACTGATGGCATCGTGTAACATATAAAATTTAAAAAAAAATCGTAATTTTGGAAATATTTGAGCTTGGGTTGTACCTATCTCAATTAAAAGCCAACAATTTTTGATTCATATATTGGTCTCTAACATACATATTTCATGATATCAAATGACTAGGTACACATTTTTTTAAATTAATTAATTTATCTTTGTGTTTATAGTTTTAATTTTGTATTATTAGGTACCAGGTAGGTTTATAATATACAAACTAAAATGTACATACTATACATCATTCTATCTAAAAAGTAATGTATTACATTTCTAATGGTACCTACCTACATGCAAGTAACCATATAGTCAGTTCACGTATACAACTAATTATACTAATTAGTTCTTATTTTTATACATATTATTATAATAAAGAGAATAAACGAATGTTACGGCAGCGTTTCATATAAAACCATTATTGGAATCACGAATCAAGTAGGTATATAATATAATAATATGAAATGTGTGGAATCGTGTTTCAGTGTTTGTATATTTCCTTCTTTTTCTTTTTCTCTTCTTCATTCGCTCTCGACTATACGGGGTTGGCCAACCTTGTCCTACAAATGGTTAGGTTCTACGATATTTCTGAAGTTTTTTTCCAAACTTACGTATGCATACACAGCCACACAGGGGTAATGTACTCATTTTTACCTTTTATGTACTTATGTCTAGCGGGGGAACTTATAAGTTATATTTGCCTTATAATATATAATACACTACTATATATATATACTTATTATACTTGGTAAAATAATAAATAATTCTTTACTACTATTGGAATATTTTCAGTTATATTATATCAAATTCAGCCACTCGGGTATGTAAATAAATTATTATGTGTAATGATATTTAATATTTTTTGTGTTTTCACCTTTACATGGAAATATTAATGAAAGTACAAAAACAATGTCAAGCTGTTCTACTTCTTTGAACACTAGCGCATCATAGTACTTAATATTTAATAATATATTTATTGAATCATCAAAATTACGAAGTAGGTACAAATTATATAATATTCAATGAGAATAAATTTCAAAACAAAAAAAAAAACAAATAGTAGGTACTTTGATGAAGCTGTCCTAAAAAGTAAGCTTGTGAAAGGGAACAGTCAGTTAAAAAACAGTTGTTATAAAATATAAATTAAACATAATTTATAACAATACTAAACACACATGCAAAATTAAATAATTACTAAATGCCAAGTTTAGTGTACCTAACATATAAAATAAAACTTAATTCATAAAATATTTAAATCTAAATTATTTACATAGTTTAAAAATGTTTTTTTATTATAAAAAGTTTAGATACATCAAGATTTAAACATCTTAAAAGCATAGGCGCAATTGAAACTTGGGGCTGGGGGGGCTGAATATATTAAAGGCAAGCAGACCATTGCAATATAGCATATTAAAACTGTATGTCCTAGGTTTTTTTTTTTTGGGGGGGGGGTACTCATTTGCGGCCTATGCGTTAAAAGACTTTTATAAGTACATAAAATATTTTTTCACCAAAGAATTTCCTATTAGCCGGTTTATTACCCCAAGCTTTAATCTTGTGTGATAGTGATGTTTAGGTTTATTTTTAGGTATCAATATTTGTATCAAAACAATACGAAAGAACACTATAAATATATTAATTATTAACTATCTAATATATAAATCTCGAAAATAAATTGATTGTAACATTAAGTTATATACTCGCTTAGCATAATTACCCCATGGCCCATACTACTAAACCATAACATAATAAATCAATAAGATTAATACATCGCATATTACCTGTAAGACTGTAAACCGTATGAAAACCAAAGAATGCAATATATTTTAGTTCCCATCATTTAACACTACCTACCTGGATACCTATAATTATTGAAAAGTGCAATGCCCTACAAGGTACATAATATTATACTACACCACAATAGTACTTTTGTTTTCAATACTCATTGACAGCAGTTGACCCACTACAGACAAGTATTCGCTAATATAATATTATATTGACCAAACTATTCTAATAAATAATTATTGTTTAAGAATGTAAAATCGTTTTTAGTTTCAGAAACGTTTTAGCGTTTTGGCGTGACGATTACGACGACTGATTCAGCTGGTTTTTTGGTAGATTATTTTTGTATTGTATTTTATTATTTATACATTAAAATGATTAATTTATTGTATTAATCTAAAATGTATTTATTATGTATAGTATAATATAACTAATTAGGTACTAGATATATTATACAGGGTGATTCATTAAGCTTAAAACACTCATTATCTCAAAAAGTATTAATGTTTTAAAAATATTATTTTTTTATATAGTTTCAAGTTGTAAAAAAAAAAACGTTTTTATTAAAAAATTATATTTTTAAATATTTTTTTAAGTTTTTTTACTTTTTTAAATGACAGCATAGAGTTTTAATTTCATATTCCAAAGCAGAATATTTTCCTAAGTATTTTGATTCATAAAAATCGAATTTAGTGAGAGTAGTTTATGAGTTATAAGTATTTTATGTTTTTGATGGGCGGAGTGGAGTGGTATACCCCGCAAAATGTTTATCCACCACTCCACTTGTCTAAACTTTAAATACTTATAACTCATAAGCTACTCGTCCTACATTCAATTTTTGTGTATCAAAATACTTGGAAAAATATTCTGCTTTGGAAAATGAAATTAAAACTCTATGTTGTTATTCAAAAAAGTAAAAAACTTAAAAGAATATATGGATAAAAATATTTAAAAATATGATTGTAATAAAAACGTTGTTTTTTCTAACACTTGTAACTATGTTAGAAAATATTTCCAAAAACATTAATACTTTTTGAGATAATAAGTGTTTTACGCTTAATGAATCACCTTGTATAGCCGGGGGTGAATAGGCCGATAGGGACTGAGGACAAGATTTTTCCTATGGTCCCCGACTGTTGGTGGCCCCAAAGTATAAAAACATACTTTCTTTTTTTCAAAAATGTTTAAGTATTATAGTCTATAAAAAAAAGTTATCCGTCCCTTGTTATTTGGAGAATAAACATTTCTTTTCCCAATTTTCTAAATATTGTTTTTCACACCATTGTTATTTGTTAATAGTTTTTCTTTGAATTTTTGTGAAGGAATCTGTCTGTAGAAAAATACGTTTGTGGTTCACGAACGGCTTTGTGTGGTGTGTCATTTGTGCAATTTTAGGCGTGATGTACTGATGTATAGCCTTATATATAATCATATTATTCTCTATAACAATAAAAGTGACTGTCCACCACTGGTTTCTGGGTGTGTCTGACGTGTGTATAATATATAGTACCTAACTTATAGGCCTACGCGCACTTACCAGCTATCAGCTATAAGCAGTACATACTCATAGTATGTGCAGTAGCGGATCTAACAAAGAAAATATGGACATTCACACCGTTGCCCTTGTGAGTCCTGTTCCTTCATAATTGTTTTTAAAATTATCAAAACCGAAATAGAAAATGATTCGATTTAATAATTTTAGGAATGATGTGTCATGTTTGCATGGTGGATATTCCATAGTAAATAATAGAAAGTACCAATTAACTTAAAATATGCATAAGTCATTACATTTTTTTTTTGATCTTAAGCTTCGGCAACTATGCCCATTAGAATTTGTAGGGAGTTATACGGTAGTGGTCCCGCATCCGGGAACTCAGAAGCGTGCTCAGGAATTTTTAATGGGGGGGGGGGGGTTAACCCTCTAAACCTCCCTCTGTGAGCGTTAGTGCTGAGGCTACCCACCGACCATACCAGGCCCCGTATTAAATTTTAATACATATATTAATGTCTATGATTGTGAATATTATCAAAGACAGATAATTTACCTATGGCAAGAACAGAAAGCAGTGAGCTTTACAAAGCGTAAGTTACAACCAAGTAAATATTAATATTTTTATTCATCTTTAAATATTGCTGTGTAAAAGTCTCTTTCAACAATTGAATATTTCTCTTAAACTAGGTAGGTCAATTTGACTGTGAATTTTATAGACAGGTACCTACCAAATTATTTCGTACAGTTTAATTCTTATGTGAATTAACTATAATTAAAGTAATTTAACTCATAATATTTATTAAAAAAAACCGGTCAAGTGCGAGTTGGACTCGCGCACCGAGGGTTCCGTACAAAACCTGTAGGTATAAACAGGTTAAGTAAAAGCTCAACCAACACGACAATCGAGTCATAGTTATGGTACTTTTATTGCAAATGAAATTTATAACATCAAAATATGAAAAGCTGCAGGATAGAGCGGGATATTTAATTGTGATCAAAGACATTTTGTATTACATGTACCTAGGACATATTTTCACTCAAGAATCACCAGCACCTTTTTATTATTTCTTTCGATTGCGTTGACATAAAAGTTTGATTTTGTTACAGTTTAAAGGTATTATAGACTTAAGTATTTAATATGAATTTTAATTTAATACCTCAACGCGTTCATGAGATAAGAAGTAGTAACTTTGAAATTTTCAAAATATTTATTTTTTTATGATGAAACTAAAAATTTTGGTTTTCGCCGTAATTTTTCCTATATCTGTACTATAAGACGTGACTTCGTACGAAATTTCAAGATTCTAAGTTCACGGGAAGTACCCTGTAGGTTTTGATTCCCGTGCGAGTTTCGAAAATTTGCGGAAATTTGCGGCCTAAATGGCTGTATCTTTTGATTGCGTTGGCTTAGAAGGTTGATTTTTCTACAGCTTCCAGGGACAATAGACCTGAGTATCATATAGAAATTTCAGTTTGATACCTCCACGCGTTCTTGAGAAAAACGGTCTTGACAGACGGACGAACAACAAAGTGATCCTATAATGGTTCCGTTTTTTTCTTTTGAGGTACGGAACCCTAAAAATTAAATGTTGCTTTAAACCTCGGTAATTATTTTATTGGGACATTAGTAATGTTAACGGATTATGAGCCTTTGTGCTTAAATCCGCCACGTACTGTACGGTCTGTACGTGATTAATGTGTTTTATAGTTGCAAGAATTTGACGAGTCACTATTATTATAACGAACAGCCAAGTTCTTTTGGTAATTGAAAAACGTTTGTTTAAACCGGTGAGCGTTATTTATTATTATGCATTGTACATACAACTGAAGAGTTAAGTCGAATACACTTAATAAATGGCTATTAAAAACAATACTACGCTTACAGGGATCTGCGTGTTCGGGGAGCGGGGTTAGCATATTATAACCATTATTGGAGTTAATCAAATAATTAATCGAACGAATCCGTTTAATTATATTCGTTTAATTAATCCAATGACCTCGCGTAGCGTAGTTATAGAATATAATTACGGTGATTATTCGGTGGCCGGTGGGCGGTTGGTACAGTAAGTACAGTACTGTATTAAAAAAAATGAAAACACTTGATATTATATTTTAGGTATCTATATAAATAAAAATGAATGTTTATTTGTTGGTTTGTCCTGTGTATACTCATAGGACAAAAACTTCTGGATTGTTTTCAATAAAAGCTATATCAATAGATTCATTGAGTCTCTGCATTGGGTGTGTATCAGTGGCATGCCCAGGGATTTTCAAAGGCAGAGGGTATGATATAACAAATAAATAATAATAGATTTAAATGAAATGTGGTGGTAATACCAAATACACAAATAAGAGGATTAATCGAATAATGGGGGATATATAACCCCTACCCCCTTGGCCCTTGGGAACGGAACTGGTGTTTATAGCTTATTTGTTCAACGAATATAGGTTACTATAGCCTATTGGGAATATTTAGTAACTAAATTCATACCTACTTGATCTATATACAATAAAATAGTTTGCTATTATGTTACAGTTTATATTACTACAATAATTGGTAGAAATATGACATATAAAATGTTTATGAATATAAGTATTTAAAAAAAAAATCTTCAAATGAAACAATGATTACTTTTATAATTTGCAGCCAAGATTTGCTTTTTTAATTCTGGACATATTTTTGATGTGAACACAAAAAGAATAATACCAATCTTAACGATATTAGATTTACGTCGTCTTATGCATTTGCTGAATCAGTCTTCAGTTTTATATGTTCACAAAACTATGTCCAGAATTAAGAAGTGGAAAATAATAAAATTAATAATTGGAATTTATTATGTTTGTATTAGATATATATTTCAACTGAAACCAAACGGAAAACGATAGAAAGTTAGATCAATTTTAAGCTGAGCGATGTCGGGTAATAAAACTAGTATTATATTTTATACATATTTGCAAATTGCAATGTTCCGGTAGAGGCGAGGAAATCGAATTTTTTGTACACATCATAAATACAGCACACTGTTGAACGATTTACTAAAACACTGCACCGGGGTCGCTAGCCTTTTTATGTGTATATTATACATTGTCAGTTGTGTAGGTACTGGTATAAATGTAAATACCAATACGTACCATAATATTATAATAATATTTGTAATTAATACTTATTATTATTATTATTTGTCGTCATTACTCATCAACGACGAATGAAGACAATGCAAAAGCTATACATAATTCAAGTATATGATAATAGGTTAATCTGTTAATGGATATATTGGGTACTACTAAGTAGCAGGTACGTTAAATATTTATGTATATTATATACTATATTATTAATATCATATACTATATTATTAATATTATATACTTATACAGTTATACGGTTGGATGAGTTGTCAGCCGTGCGTAGTTCGTCATAATAATTAATTAATAATTGCAAAATGTAAAACGCGTAATGCCCTATTTTTGTTCACGCGTGAAATATTGACCTATAGTGAATAAACTCACCGTAACTGAGGTTTGTTTTAAGGCCCATCGCCATAGATACCCTGGACACAACGGACCGCACGAGTGGGCCGTCCTCGAACTTTTTCACTTCTCCTTGTCCCTTTGTGTCGTCGTCGTCGTCTTCGACCTGCTTGCACTTGTACAGCTATTACACATTATTATTATTTAATACCTACCTAAGTAATCGCCATTAGCTGCGAAGTGGCGTGCCGAAATTAAGAGGATGTCAGGCGTCAGCGCAATGTTTGTTTTCTCTTTCTCAACCCCGCGCATCATAGATAAAACTCGTTTACGCAGTCTGAGTAGACTCGCTCAATTTGGGTTCTAGAGTAAAAATACCTATTTTAAAATGAAAAGATGACAATATTTCGAAGAGCAAGACTGTGCGTTTTTCCATTATTCCGAATATAACACTCGATATATCGTTTAGAAATGACGACCTTTCAACATGTAACTTCTAACGACCTGTAAATGTCTAAAAAATATTTTATTTTTAAAAACGCACAGTATTGTACACCGAAATATTCTCATATTTAAATTTAATAATTGGTGTTTTTATTCTAAAACCAAAATTAAATGAGTTCTACTCAGACTGTGTAGGTATACGTTTTGTTTATGTTGCGCGTGGGTGAGAGAGAGAAAAACAAACAGTGCGATGACATTCTCTTAAATTATAATAAGATATGATTATAGCCATTTCCTGGTATCTATTTTTAACTTGTTAACTATTAATCATTTATATTAAATGTATACTTGACACACGCCACACACTGTTGTATAGCTGCATACCAGCTTATGAAATTGTTAATAAATATTTCTTAATATTTGTATGTAAATTATAAACTATAATAAGTGGGTATACACAGACTTTACATTCCCACCTCCATTACATAACCTAAACGTATATTATGCTTACACGAATGATGGCTCCAGTGGCGTACCCTTTAAGTGAAAAAAATCACTGAATCGAGAGATGGTAAGGCATGGGGAATAACAATTAGATAATGTTATGGAATTTGTATTGCAATATAAATAATTGTAATATATGGTACCAGGTCGATAATGAAGGACTTTTTTTTTAATATGGTCTCATTTTGTTTATGTTAGGTAGTTTTCAGGCGCTTACTAGTCTCCCGATGTCAAAAAGGTTGATAATTCTTATACAAATTGCCTCCCAAAGTCTGGATTACATAGTATTTACGAGTCTCGACGTACCCTAAATTTTATCGTATGAAAAAAAGGGTCCATAAAGGCTTTAAAATACTATAGTTGCCTCCCAATAAGCATGTACTTCCTATAAACAATTCATACATTTTCAAACAGTTTCTCAAAATTATTAATAATTTCAAAGTCGAAATTTATGACTTTAAATTTTCACACTATTTAGTAGATACATTTATATCAAAAGATTCCTTTTTCTATCATTCATGGGCATAAGCGTGTTTTTAGCAATCAGCGTTATTAAGTTTTAACAAGTAAACACATGAACTAATACAAATTAGAAACAGCATAGACTTCATTGATATTTACATGAAAAAGTTGATTGAAAATAAAATAATATCAAATTTTGATCACATAAAATATTGACTGATAATAGCGATAAATATAAGCTTACTAACGATAATATAATAAATAATAAAATAATAATAAACTATAAGTAACAAGACAATATTTTTTTATTATATTGTTACAATTTTTTACCAAATGTTTTTTTATTGACATATTATATTATTATTTTCAACAGATGTGTATTATTTGTACACTTGTTTCATGGATATACGTAAGACTGATGTTTTTTAATCGTAGTATATATGTACAGTTAATATTTCTAAAAATCTAGAAAATGTGTTTAAAAATGATATTATTCTATATCCTATAACGACTTAAAGTAACATAAAATAAAAGCTTACCATAATAAAATTGAAGCTATAAGACTAATGTTTATCATTATGAAATTATTGTGAAAATTATAATAAACATATCTATGTTACCTACTATGAATTAAATGTTTTAAAATAATTATTAAAATAAGTACCTTTATTATGTATAGGTAGGTACTTATATAATTTCAATTATTATGAGGTACATTTTTGGAAGGCAACTCTTATATAATTATGAATTAACAATTAATTAATAATTAGAAGCAACTAATGTATAATAACCTTTTTATTTATGATTAGGGTGGGAGGAAACTCGTATGCACACAACTCTTCGCCCTTTGAGCAGGAAATCTCCCCCCCACCCCGCCCATGCACCAAAAATGGTGTAATAATAATAATTGTGTATACAAAATGTATCAGTAATATACTTACAACATTATTATTTTTATTAACCTATAACCTTACAATGGAAAATTTTATTGCAGTGTGCAAAATAAAACGATTTACATTTTTGTGGTAAAAATTTAAAAATAACTAATAAGTAACTTGCATATTATACTTTATATCGTCATTTGCCGACCGTTAAATCCGCTACCGTCCTTACCTATTATCTATATTATACTATATACCCAGCTAATCTATGTAGCCTGTACTGCAATTTATTAATTACTAATCCCTTTTACTGTGCTAGTTCTAAAATTAATAAGCAGTATTTTTAAATTTAATTTTTGCAGAGCATCTCCTATACTTACATAGAATCTATCATCGGACGTTTTGACGATCGGTAATTCATTTTCGGGGTTTCGGTTGAACACCGATTGGTAAAACACGGTGGCGCTGTCTTTGGCACGTTGCTTATGCGAAGTCAGAAACTGAAAAAATAAAACGGCCGAATCACTTTTATATTTTATTATAATTAATTTAACATATTATATAACTGTTAAAGTGTAACACTCTCTCATTGTGATAAAGTGACATAAATAATTGTTAGGTACTTACTATTATACATATTAGTATATTACGTGTTACTATAAAAATAATGAATCACTCCGTGCCGATTTACAGTAATTGTAAGTGTAATAAAGGCGTAATTTGGGTTAAATGTATGGGGGTGCTACGGTTATGTCGACTAAAGTGATCAGTGGGGGACTTTGCCCCCCTCCCCCTCACACCTCCCTCCAATTGTACACCATGAATGGTATACACCTTCGCATTAATCTTAGTATATAAGCAATTACCTATAACATAATACATTATTATCTGTATTATTATTCTGATAGTATGTTATTAATATGTTAATGTTAATATTATAACATGTTATTCCTATGTATTATTATTATGAAAATTATAAGGTCTTAGAAATAAATGTATCCAAATATCTATGGCATAATATTATAGTCAATATAAATTCGATGATGCTATATCAACAATTTGGGGGTGCTAAGAAGAAGGTAGATTAAGGTAGGTAGAACTATTACACTGTCAACGTGTTAACCGTGTGGTTAACCCGTTACCATATTAATATACTAAATACCTGAAAATAATCAACTATACCTAATACCTATTTCACAGTATGGTTGGGTGGTTATCAATGACTAGCGAAATCGTTTTTTCTAAACAATATTATAGCCAATTTGGTGAACAAAGGCGCATTCATAGCTACTTACGTCGTGTGTCGTACGCAATTTTAAAAATCAGGACTTATTTAAGTATAATTTTTTTCTACTATTATTTTGTAAGGTTTCTTGGCTAACTACGTTTTAGTGGGCCTGAGGTTATTGGATTAGAGAGTGTAATCAATGGAGATCTATGGATTTTAGTATAGTTTATTGTTGCTGCATGGAGTTTTCTGTGGCATTGAGAAGTATTTCTAATTTTAAAATGTCCTGGAGAGTGTTTATTTCTCACTAACTATATGGAATATCCGAGAACCTGTAATTTAGATTTGAATAACGAATTCTATACGTTATGGCTGGTCTAATAATTTGTTTATAAATAAACAAATAACTTATAGTGACAGTTTTGAATTTCAAGCGTAGGCTTATCAATGTATGGAGATATAATATTATACACTTTAAAGTTAAATTTAAGTACTTTGAAGTTGTCTTCGGTGTATGGGTTATTGAATATCTGTGGGAATTGTCTTTTGAGCCGAACGGCCAGTGACTTAAGTTCCTCGACACCCTGCCTCTGCAGCATATAATGATCGTCTTTGGTCAGATTTATATTCCAATTCTTGATGGCCACGATATCTTCAGGGCACATTGTCGATTCATCTGTTATCATTGTCTTAAGTTCGTTCAACTTCTTAAGTTCCTCGATCTTTTTTCGTGATGGATACCGCGTACCATGTCTGGATACCAGCCATACTTGCATCGGCCGGCAGTCTGTAATCAGGTTTATGACAGTCGTAAACATAATATATTAATAATGTTTTTTGTTTTTCATTCTTATGATTAGCTTATTGTATTGTACTGTAAATTGTAATACTTTCAAGGGTTTTATCTTTCAATATCATAAATATAAGAGAATAGCTACTTTTAAAGCAATTGTTCAGTTAAAAAATAAAACTTTAATAAATTTGATAGCAGAGCGATCACCGAACGAAATACAATTAAAATATTACTCGCGTTGTTTCGAAAAATGTAGTTATGAAACATGAAATATAATAATTTGAAAACAAAACCTAAAATGTTAAGCATTGCAACATAAAATAAACAGATACTAAGTAGTTACCTATATTGAACCTATAATTTAGGTACCTAAACTGAATGTAACACAATATGTACACATGTATCATAATATGATGGTGGTAACTGGTAATTTATTGGTTTATTTATTTAACCGGAAAGGTAACATACTCCCACGCATAATTAAGTATATTGTACAACAGTTTGAGAGAAAAAAAATAAAATTTGCTATTGAAAACTGAGGTTCCACATTGGTGTTCGTCATTAGCCTTCTAAGCGGTTCGTTAACTAAGTAATTTGTTGTGGCATGAGGGCCATAAATAGGAGTGGTAACTGGTATATCTAGTGAAACGCAGAGGTACCTTAAAGCACATACTATAGCTTAGTGGATTCAACTTTGGCGTTTAACAGTCCTTTGATAAATCTAATACCAGCAGTTCGTCTTTGCTTTGCCAACGAAGAAAGGCCAAGTTGATTTTCTACTGGTGAGTAGTCATGAGGTGGACCACAGGTCACAGGATATTTTTAAAACATAACTAGCAAAACGTAATAACTTATTCTGGACTCGTTCAACTTGCCTTACATCCCTAGCAGTATGAGGACCCCTAACAATATGCCCATACTCAAAAATGGAGTGGACAAGGGCAAAATATTGTACCTATACAGATACACTTAGATTTAGTTTATTAGTCAACCTGATATTATTATCGCCGAACGATTTAAAAACCTTGCAGCGCGTATATATTCAACGTGTTTCTTAGGCTCAAGGTTGGAGGTTTGGTTTTAAAACACTAGGTATCAGTTACGCGCAGAATATTGAATTGCATTAAATTTGTATGTACGAAAAAAACCACCGGAGATTGGATTTTGGTAAATGTAACGGTCATGATATTTATATAAGAGATGGCTCAGAGTAAACATTTATGCAAATATACTATATGCTATTGTCCATTTGTGCCAGTAAAGCTTCTACAATCATACTGCATCCCGTACAAAAACAGTGAAACAACACTGAATGCCAAAAGCATTATTGTGGTTTTATGTGGCTTAGTCATTTTTCATCAGTTAGTTAGACAAATATAAATTAGTAATAATTTACGAGTGATGAATTTATGCGCTGTTAATGCATAGTGTTCGGTTTGAATACAAATTGGAAAACATGCCAAACATTATATTTCCAAAACCTCATTATTATTCTTTCATAAAGGTGCAGTGTACCTTGTACAGTTGCACCTATAGAGTCAACATGTATATATTTTTTAGTCAACAATAACTAATTGTCCTAATGAATTTCTTAGGAAAACATATAGGTAAATAATAGAAAGTAATGGAACATAAATATTAAAAACATTCGAGGAAAAAATATTCGTCATATTATTATTGTCGTAAAATATAATAATGTGTAGATAATTATCAGGAAAATTATAATTTGATAAACTAGTAAAGAATAACAATATATAGTATTAAATTCGTGAAGAAGTAATAATATTAGGAATTTAATGGAATATGTGGATTCAAATTATTATTTTTAATAATTCAGAATGGGTACGGCCAAAATATCAAATATAAAAATGTTCCAATCATTTCAGTCAATTTGCCTTCGCCTCATTTCAAAAGCCCCCTGGTACGTCAGCAATCTCTCCCCCCACTCTGATTTCAAAATCCCAACCATTCATACACTTGCCGTTCACTTTTATAAATCATTCCACAAAAACACTTTCAATCACTCAAATCCTCTAATTTCAAACCTCTCCTATCTTACTCTTCCTAATACGCTTTGTTTATTACCATAGAAACAAATAAAAAATAATAATATTATTATATTAATTCAACTTACATGATATAATAATTAATGACAATATAAAATATCTAGGCTGACAAACCGTTTCCGTTCAGAATCGTTTTTCTTATACAATGATAGAATATCATTGAATTCAAGTTTAATACAATTCATTATACATTGGCGCACTTGTAATCTACTTTACAGCAGAGCGACATCCATTTACCTGCTTCTTTTAGTTTTTTTTTTTAACAAATGTAAATAAAATTTTTTTTTGTTTGGTCAAAATACTTGAAATTTAATACAAGGTTGAATGCTCCTCACTTATTGCTCCAATACCAGTTTAAAAATACATGATTCAGATTTTTTTTATATTCGTTCATTTTGGTTTTCACAATTAATCTGGCCACTGGATAGTCAGTAGTTGTACGATTATAGTTGGTACATCCTTTTTCCTAACATAACGACCCTAAAGTGATTTTACCTGGCCCCTGGTCGGTAAATAATTTTGTATACATTTAACAATGTAACTTTTAACTTAAGTCTTTAAATGTAACTTAGTTACATATAACTGTAACTTGTATCTAGTTACTTAACACAAAAGAAGCTAGTAACTTATAACTAATAGTTACATAGTTTTTGAGTAACTTGTAACCAATTACAATAAATTGAGTAACTTGCCCAATCCTGTACATAATATATAAATATTACAGATAGTAGATAAGTATAAACACTATAAACTAATTTTTCATAGTAAAATAATGATAATCGTCACAGAAAATATTATGTACAATAAACGAACGTATAATTATTGTACATACACCTAACCATTCATGCCGATTTCAACGGTGCAATAGTTGGAGATATTTTAATATTTTATACTTCACTGTTCTCTGTTGTAAGATGTTCACTCGCGATAATACAGACGCTTTTATTAAAAAATATTCTAGGAGGATCTTTTATGTGATTGGATATTTACCTTATATGTATTAAGATGTTGTCAATACTCAATAAATTATTGTAATAATAAAAAGTTGTTCAATATTTTATTCATTTCAGCAGGATGTTTTATACGTTGTCATATTACAATAATTAGTTCTACAAATTATCTCTATTTTTTTTTTTATAGTAAAAACAATACAAATTAAACTTTTATAAGATTTTTTTATTGCCCTCCCCCACCTTTAGAAATACTGGCACACCACTGCAATTAGGTATACATCTTATATTTAGAAGTTATGCCTTATGGCTTATACTCTAGCAGTCTAGCGTCTAGCCATCTTAAGATAACGTCATACCCAATAACCATTTTAATGGTAACATTTTGTTACCTACTCCATGTCTCCAACCACAGTTTCAAATGTAGTGATTTTATTCATACAAAACTAATCAAAAGATGAAAAGCCTTTGAACAAAATAAAAATTTTAAATATGTTTCTCTTACCGGAGAAAATTGTCTGAAACTATATACAAACTATTATATTAGTATATATTATACTTTATCATCAGCTGCGAGTCAGAGGCGTTCTCAGGATATTTCAATGGAGGGGGATGAAAAAAATGGTTACAAAATAACCGGTAAGGGTTTTGCATTACAACTCCCATATTATAATAATGAATATTAAAAAAGCGGGTAAGTGGATGTCGCACTGCTGTACAGTAGGTTACAAGTTGGTAACTATATAATGGGTTGTATTAAATTTGAATTCAATGATATCATATCATTGTATATGAAAAAAGATACTGAGCGGAGACGGTTTGCCAGTCTGGATATTTTATATTGTTATTATATTTTATTATAGTCTGTAAATTTAATTAATATTATAAATTACAACAAAATAATTAAAATAATTATTTTTATTTTATTTGTTTCTATGGTGATTAATACAGGATAAAATAAAAATAAAAAACGGTCAGTCAGCCTATAATATTACTAAGCATATTTGATGATATTATTGTGAATAAAGTAATTTATATATAACCTATTTGCGTGGAACCTTGTTTTAAATTTTCAATGTCTAGCTATAAAAGTTTAACTTTTCATAATTTCATAAACTATATTAACTAGAAAATAATTATTAAATTTTGTCGAAATTCGAACTTTAAATGCTTATTAAAAAAATTGTGAATATGCATTTTTTATATTTTTCAACGGCTATTGTAAGAATATATCAGGAGCTTTGCATTAAATTATCACGCTTTTTTACACAACAAATAAAATTTTATTGATATTTATAGAAAAAAAAACTAAAAAAATTTAAAACTGAAAATGTCCGTTAACAGCTCAAAAAGAGTAAAAATATTTTCAAAATTGTATGGTGTATAAGAAATGCTAATATAAACATTCTGTGATATTTTGAAGTACCTATCTACAGTCATTCGTTTTTTAATTACAACAAAATAAGAAAATCGTTAGGTACATGAGAAATCGAGTGAATATCCAATGTTGTAAAAATTTGAATTTCAAACGCTTTTAAAAATTTGATTTGACATTCTTCTAGACATTTTTTTTTTGATAAAGGTAGACAAACTCATGAGGAATCTTTTTTATGAACATTTTACAACATTTTTTATGAATTTCTAATTCAAAATAATTTGCAAATTAACGTCATTTGTACGTACTTTGTGAATATTTGAACTTTAAATGCTTATAAAAAAAAATTGTGATTATGGATTTTTAATTTTTTTCATCTGCCTTTGAAACAATACACTAATAATTATAATACACATATTGATATTATTTTATTTTATTTTAATAATAGTAAATTGCCTCCCAAAGGTCCAAACAAGTAAAAACTATATCAGCTACGAAAGTACAAATGTACAATTTATTTATACTACCATAATGGTAAAAAAAATAGTAATGCTTAAAAATCAGTTAGCTGTACTGTTTAGCAACAATATTCAATTTTTTTTTAATATTGTTACTTAAGACTTAACTAGGTATCCATTTTAATTTCAGGCTGAATCAATGTGGGTACCTATAGGCTATACCTACCTTAATTCTTGTATTATTATTTAAAAGGTTAAGCATGTCTAAACTATAAATATAATATATAACTATAGAATTATTGAAATCGATATTATAATTTATAACATTATTTTATCATGAATAAAACAACTACATAACTAGTTAAAACAAAGTTCATTTATACTTATTTTAACTGTTAAAATAATTCAGATAATGGCTTAAAATTATAGTAAAACTAAACCTTCAAAAATATTAAACTAAATAACTTCGATTCTTAAAACTGCAATTCCAATGAGTTATTTCATGACCTTCAAACAGTTAAGGTACTATATTTAGATTAACGTTCCATTTCAGTTAATATGACTGACACACGCAGTTAACTTCAATTTTATTGGTCAAGAACATAGTAAAGAGTTAAAATAACTATCCCATTTTTATTTGTGTTGTAAAACTAATAGATCCCTCGCTCTGCTCAGAATCTAATAATGATAGTTGATATTATCAAATAATCAATTCAAGTCATTTTTATTATATATTTTATTTAAGCTATAAGGCAATGTTATGAATCAGTTTAAATTATTTATTTTATTTTATCACTGTGTTGTTATCATTGTATATCTTACCATTCTTATACCTTTAATTTTTTTCTGACGCTGGGAATGGGTAAAGTTGACGGAGTGATCGTTTACAAAAATACAGTACAAATTAATTGTAAAACGAATTTCCTGTTATATGTTATGTTTATCAGTGATGAATAATAATATTGTTTATGGCTGGTGGAATCAATAATCACAATTAAGCAAAATAGCAAAAAAATAAATAAAAATAATAACTACCTAGTCAATATTGAAAACACAAACACATATCAAAAGTAGACAAAACGTGTATTTCAGATATGTAATAAAATAAAGAACTTTGGGGGAGAGATCTATCCCCCATATCCCTCCCCCCGTGAGAACGCCCTGCATGTGCAGCGAGTATCAGATATTGACCAGTCGCGAACTTATTTCGTAGATTTCATCAATAGTATTTGAAACGGACAATATATTATTATGGTATATCATATTTAACGGCGAATATTATGCTACAATGTGGCCTAAGTCCTCCTATTGGATACTAAGTCCTGGTATATATATACACACACCTGGCGGAGTCTGCAAGTCGTTTCCGGCCACCGCACCGTAAGTGGTCTTTGTGCCGAAGTACATATACGGATTTTGGACGGTCCGGTAGCACATGCGGCCGTAGTCCGTCCGTTGCCAGAGCGATGACGAGGCTTGCTGCCAGTCGGTAAGTTCGGCCGTGGACGCGGCCATCGCCGAGAACAGCAGCGTTACTGTAAACACACTTCCCGTGACCAGCATTGTCGCGACACTGAACGCCGAACGCCGGGTCGGAGCGCGCCGTAGACATCGCGATTCGCAGCCGTCGAAACCGCCGCCGCCGCCACTGTTGCACAGGTAGTTCAACGCTGGGTGGTGGGGGAGAGGGGATGCGATAGGTGGATCTTTTTTTCTTTCAGTTTTTCTTTCATTTCTGATGTAGATAAATGGCTCACGTAGTCACATATTATGAATTACGAGTTAAAAACATAGCCAATAATTTAACATGAATTTAGTTATCTAGAAAATATAGTATAGAGTTACGAAAATAATACTATAACAGAAATGTTATGAATAGGATTAAAAATATTAAATATAAATTGTAAAACATTCATCAAACATTATCGAATTCTAGAGATGTACTTTATTTTTTTAATACCAAATTACCAAATACACCCAATTAAAACATAAAACACTTAAAATCTTCCTACGATCGAAATTTATTTCAAAAAGAACTTACGGCTACCTGTGAAAAAGGGTTAAACGTACGTAAAGATAAAGGCGCTTGGCAAGACATCATAATTAAATACATCAAGTATGTGAACCTAAAATAGTTCCATAGACTAAATACAAAATTTTACTCTATTTTCCATCATTATTTATAAGTTTATAATTATAACCATTCAGAGTGTGAGTAACAATAATGTTCATTTCTAAGTTCAAATTTCATCATCAAATTTGATGTATATATACGACCTGTTTTACAATTTTAGTTTTAATGTTGTAATTTAAAATTTTTAAAACATTATAGGCCATATGGGCACTTGGAACGTTTAAGTATGTTATTATATTTTATACACAGAATGACATTTTTAAATTCAATTTTTTTCGGAAAATATAATTAAATTTATTGTAGTACTAATTCCTAATTGTAAAACGAATTACTTTAATAGTAATGAGTAATGACCAATGATATAAAATATCATATACTTAGTAATATAGGCTGACAGACTGTCTTCGCTCAGAATCGCTTTACGTATACAATAATTTTATATCATTAAATTCAAATTTAATACATACCATTACAATGACCTAATAGCTAATTTACAGCAGAGTGAAAAGTTAAAAAAGTGGGCCCTCCAAAAAATTCCAATTAGTTACTAGATTCACTTTCCTGTCCGAAAAGACGCGGCAGTAAAAAATTTAAGCATTATTTCTACTGCTCCAAAAGGTGATTTCAGACAAAAAAAAACACATGTAATTGTAAAATGAATATATTCATCGCTGTGTCAGAATCTCAAGCACATTAATTAAATAATTATAAATGATAATGAAAATATAGAAATATTATTAATGGTTAACTATTACATGTTATCTTTTATATAATAATAATGTTATAAGGCGAATAAAAGAACGTGCTACAAACTAATTAATACTTTTTATTAATTAAATACGGTTAAATTAAATAAATTGAAATATTTAATATATTTATAATATAAATCTGAAAATATATTATATTTTCAGATGTTTTTCCTGGTTGAATACATTTTTAACATGTAATTCAACAAGTTGAAATATCGTGTAGATTTTTAATTAGTAGCTTTTAATGTACCTATTCACATTTGTTTATCCTTCTTATCAAATAACTGCGAGTTTTTCCCACGTCTCCCAATGGCGTAAAATCCAATAAGAAGGTTTACAGATAATATACTCAACATTAATAGATGTTAATTTTACCAAAAATGTTTGGAGATGAGCGATGACAGAAAAAAAAACATATCATTAACAAATTAATCGATTTATCACTCCTCTCAGAATATAAAATTAAACATTATGTACCTACCTAAATAAGTATATTATAACTAATATGAAATAATGAACTGCAATATAGGGGTAATGAATATGTATATACATTAGTAGGTACTCATTAAACAATTTTGGGATGCATTTTGATATTTGAGATACCTAATTGTTTTTAGAAGAAAGCTCTATGAATAATAAAAAATTGTATTAAACAAGCGAGAAAGAGAATATTCGTTGTTGTAAACGCTCTGGAAGCTGATGAATTATTTTCATCAAACGTACACGATGGACTGGAAACAATGGGATCAAACATATTTTCGATCGATGTCCATGGACACAAAGTACATCCATACTTCTCAACGGTCATTGGAACTTCATTGACAAAAAAAGTTACTTTTTTCTCACCCTGGCATTCGTAAAGCACGGCCATCAAATTTGAAGCAAAAGGACTCAAATATGATGATTTCCATTTTCTATCGCGCATATCATTGAAGTTAGAACTTAGCAGAGGTGTAGTGTCTCTGGCAAAACCTAGTCTAACAATTGCACTAAACACGTTCGACGAATGACCAAAATAAAACACTCCTTTTGGCCCGGGTTTTGCTTGAGATTTATTCCTATGAAAATAAAATTACTCTTGTAACCGATAAATAAATAAAAATGTACCTACAGTTGAAATTGTACTGTACGCACCTGAAGTTATTTATTAGATCTTTCACAATCGGACAGCCAAGTCTTTCGTTGTTTGAGTTGCCATACCCGTTTGAGTAGTAATACTTTAAATCTTCATCGTACTCAAGAACCTATAAAAGTATACAATAATTAATCACTGAACATCAATTACTTATTGATTATAAATAATATTGATGTATTTACTTCTAAATCTTCTTGAGAAAATACGGCACACCAAGCTGGGTGAGAATTTAAGTCCACTGATCTTTCGAATCGACATGAGTTGTACATGGATTTTATTGTATCTATAAAAACATTATAATACAAATTAAGTTTTTAAGACCAAATATAATTTAATTTATAAAATTTACTTAACGCCAGATTACGATCAAGTCCCAAAATATTCGATACTCTGATAATTACGTTTTGCATGTGTATACTACTACGAAATTTCTTTGATTCCTCGTTATCATTTATAATTTCAAATTTGGATATCTAGAATTCATGAAGTAACATGTATTACTAATTTACTTATATCTAAACAGGATAAAGAAATATTATTTAAATTTAGAATGTTAAGAATTTAAAATAAAGTTACGTTTAATTTTATATCATCGCTATTTATTAAAGGTATGTCCGTAACATTCACATTAAAAGCAGATTTTAAAAAGTAAAATGCGCTATCCCTTGATCTTTCTTTATTCGTTGATAACACCTGGAAATTCACATCATAATTAAATTATATTTAATGTAACTATGTAAGTATATTAAACGGTAAATAATAAAATTACACTGTATGTTATGGGATTATAAGGTTGGTCAAATATGTCTTCGTATAAACTTTGAAGTCTCAATCCCAAAGATAACAAATCATTTACACCTTGATTATTGAGTTTATCGCCATCTTTTTCAGTCAAATTAAAAATCCATGTTTTGATTGCCTCGAAATCTTCTTTACATAAACTTGAATTATTGGTTAGGTTATTTTTATACTCGTTTAAATTCGATATTTTATCTATAGTAGAGCTTCCGGGATGTCTCGTACCATGTCTGGATAATAGCCACAATTGCAATGGCTTACAATCTATTCAAAAATTATAAAATATTAATTTATTGATTTTAATATAGATATAGAATTAGTACCTAATCACTTGTTATTCAACACAATTAATTACATAGACTATACAAAAGACAAGAAAGAACATTTTTTAGAGAATAATAAAATATATTACTAATAATTAATCGTTAATATCTATCATATTCATCAGATCAGACGATTCAAGTACCTAGCTGAACCTCGAAACATTATATTTTGATGAACTTGTATTAATATATTTTTAATTTTTTCATATTTAGTAATTATAGATTTCAATTAATATTTTTTAATATATATAATTCCCTGGTACGTCGGCAATCTCTCCCTCCACTCTGACCTTAAAATCCCAACCATTCATACACTTCCCGCCCACTATTATAAATCATTCCACAAATACCAATCACCCAAATCCTCTAATTTCAAACCTCTCCTCTTTTACACTTCCTAATAACCCACCTCGCCGCCTCAAATGAAATTGACCCAGAGACCTTCTTAACATATAATAAAAAAAAAACAAAAAACCTGCTTAGAATTTTGAAGTAAGGTCAATGGCCCCCTTCTATCATGCAGTCTTATCTTGTATACTTGTACCCCCCATATTACATATTGTATAAATTATTACAAAGTTAATATATTCTTGTTTTCTAATAAAAAAAATATAAATAATTTTAATTCGAACGTTGTTGTTTAATAAATCTTTTATAATATTTTAAATTAAAAAAATTAAAAAAAAATTCTCATCTCAATTTACCCTAAGTTAGAGGATACCCACACTGGTGGGCCCCCCTCCTCAAGCTATTCATGTTTTTACCTTCTTTGTTATCAAATTTGCATATTGTTTTATATAAATATTACAGATTGTAAATACTTATTTTTATCTAATAAACAAAAAAAAGAAGAAAAGTTATACATTTGTAAGTTTCTCCACTAAAAATAATTACACTAAATCATATTATGCCATATGAAATAATAATTTTTAAAAAATCATGTTACTATAGTTATCGACTTATCGTAAATGACCCCTTTTCTAAAATCTCCTTAAATGTAGTTATTGAATATTAATTTACAGAAGCAACATTTCTTAAAATAGTTGAAATATATATAAATGAAAGAAACCCGAAACATTAATACTATATGTAGGAATTTCTATTAATATTTTTCTATTTTATTTATAACTAATAACTAGGAATCGATAAAAACATAATTATTTTTTGGCACGATATTAAATAACGTCTGAACAACTGCACTTTTTCTATTTTTTTTTAATTTCTAGTGCACGTAAATGTTTTTCTCTCCCACATGTTGTGTCACAGTAATTTTTTTTTGGCTGAAACTCTACCTCACAAACTTTACAAAATAAAACGCTTCCATCGGTAGAAAAAATTGATTTCCCATATTGTTGAATATCGCTGAAGTTTTGGCCTTAGGCATTTTCAAAAAATTTTATTTTGTTAGAATGGATGTTAACTAC